AAGGAAACCCGCGTTTACTTTAATACGCGCATTTCCTGTTTCTGAGTATTTTTGCGCGGTTAGATTCTCTTCGGATCGCAATTTATTTAACGTTCATTTAATTATTTAACGTTCAATATTCTCGCCGAAATATGTAAATTAATCGTCCGTGATCAATTCGTGTATATTTCAAGTTGAAAATTATTTCTGGGGACTTTTTTCGGAATAGCGATCAATTTTATTCTCATAACAAAAATATCTTGATTCAATTTTTGTATATCAATGTATAACAAACAATATTGTTTGTGCGGAGCATCTGAGAAATCAAGATACACGATGTACATATAATGATTCTCGTGCGCAAGAAAAATGGCACTTCCGAGGCTCCGATCGAATAATTGAGAAAGTTCGCTGATGCGAACCTGTACGGCTACGATGCACAATATATTCGCTAAGTATACCTCGCGGTGCTATAGTGATCTAACATTCTCTAATTCGCGGAGTTTCTCCGAAAACGGTAATAGCCCCGGAACGCGGTCTTCGCCATAAAAGCGCGGAAAAAAGACGGAAAACGGTTCTCCTGCCAATCCGAAGGTGAGAAGCTGGCAGGACAATTAATGCGCGTACCATACCAGAGCAACGCGAACAATAATACCAATAAAAAGAACATTGTTGCGGCCGTGAAACCGCGCACTCATCGTTCTCTCTCGCGGCCGCGTAATTTCTAATTCCCAGGAAGAGGTTGTGAAAGAGCATCGCGGCATCACGGGTGAAAGAAGAAAGGACCGATACGGCTGCCGGGTCCGAGCAGTAGGTCATCCGGGGAAGCTGGCTCGCGCTCATAAATAATCAACGACCCCCTCGGTTAATTAGTAGGCGGTGTTCGCGCGTTAATCTTCAAGCGGTGCTGGCCGTTGATTCCTAACCAGCCGTTATCGCGCGATCATCGTTTGCTTTACATAAATTACAATAATCGAACGGCGGATCCGCGAGTATCGACGACGACGATAAGACGCGACAATGCCGGCACCACGCTCAAATTTATCCCGGTTTTCCGTCTGTCGGACAAATTGTCGGGACTCGGACCCGACCCATGCCGTAAATCAAATTTAATTCAGCCGCGACACGAATTCCTGCGACGGCGACAATTTCTCCATCTATGCGCGGCCCGACCCCGGCTCTTTCTCTTTTCTCTATCGAGGACCTTGCCTCTCCTCGAATCCGAAGTTTCACCGGCGCGACGCTCCGGCCCGAAATTCGATTTCGGTATTTCAACCGAACGACGTAATCGCTGTTTCGGGCTTCGGATACTGGGCCCTGTCTTTGTACAATCTGTGCACGAAATTGCTATTTCGCAGGTAGATCCGAAGTTCACTTAATTAAGTATAAAGTAAATTCTTCCTAATTTGTGAGCAGATTGCGCACAAAAGTGGACAATTTGGGAAGCGGAGATGCGATTATTAGAGCCTTGCGGCGCGTTTTTATAATTATATAACCATAAATTATATTTATATTATAATATTAATATTTAATCATAAATTATATTATAATATTAATATATAATCATAAATTATATTATAATATTAATATATAATCATAAATTATAATTATATTATGATATTAATATATTACATTTATTTATATTTATATTATATTAAATTATATTTAACTAAAATATTATAATATATATAATTAATTGTAAACATTATATTTAAATATTAAATTAAATATTATAAATTATATTTAAATATATAATTAAATTATATCTATAAAAATGAGCCGCAAGGCTCGACTAATCGCATCTCCGCTTCCCAAATTGTCCATTTTTGTGCGCGATCTGAGCGCGAATTAGGGAGAATTTACTGTACACCGGAATCTTCGCACGTATTTATAAGCGCACATTAACCTAACGTAAATGAATTAACGATCTGCAAAGTGGGTACTCGCTTCGCGGAACTGTGCTTCCAAGTGGCAGCATGGAAAACGAACGGAATAATCGCGGGTCAGCTTGTGCAGCCGAATATTTCACGATACGGAGATCCCGCTGTTTCCGTGGCTCGCAAGCAAATTTCGCGAGCCCATTAATATTTCACACCGGCCGCCGATCGTTTCGTTCCCATTCTTCGTCCGCGTGGAAACTCTCACATTGCATCTAATCTCCTGTTCGGCACCCGGTCGCGCAATTCGCGCAGGCCGTGAGCGATCCATCAAGTTGGGCAATGTACGAAAAAGTGGTCTCGACACGTGGACCCGACAGAATCGATTCGGCCTTCGACACGGCCTACGCCGATTTGATGGACGCCGGCGATTACAGTAATTCGAACACCTTGGCTGTGATCTAACGATCCTAACCAGCCGAGGAACTCGTCGGAGGACAATTTATTCCAGCGAGTCTCCGATCCTTGATCCTGGATCGATCGTGGCCCCGGGCTAAGCGACTTTTCCGTTCATTTTTGACACCGTTTTCTAAAAATAGTGGCTCCGACAAAAATGCCGAGACGATCCTTAACCCCGCCGCTTTCGTGCGGTCTTTCTCAATCGCGTTCTCCTTCTTGTTCTCATTTTGTTTTCAAGGCTATCGTAATTACGTTATTGTTTTTAATCGAGCCATCGCTCTCTGCTGCCGGAGAAACAAATAATTTCTTTCACGCGTCGCGGACGAGATATCTTGTAATAGATCGTGATCCCTTAGCCCTTTGCACTCGAGTGGTGACCCCGAGGCACCACTAAAATTGTTACATCATGTTCCAAGAATAATTTTTATATTATCAAAGTTTAGATATGAAAAATTATTAAAAGTCTAATTGTTGTATGAGTCACAAGACTATATGCATAAAATACTATTTATATGCATAAAATGCGCTTTGTAATGTAAAATAGAAATACCATAACTCGGAAGAACGAATTTAGATTTATAGTCAAAATGGCTCCGAGTGCAAAATGGCTGATTCGTGACAGTCGCGTAAATTCATTCCGATTCGTGCTTAGACAATTTTCTCGGGACCGCATTGACCCAGCCGCGGTTCGAGCTACGCGTTTGTTCGTTCCAACGAAACCAGTTGTCCGACCGAAGTTTGATATCCGAATGCACGTCGGATGTTTTGTTCGCCGACTTGTTCGGATAGCCGGGGCATTAGGCGAAGTTAGGAGATAGAGGAACTATTAGAGAGTCGGTTTTAATTACCTCTCCCGATTCAATCGTTCTCGTCCGATAAGGCGAATGGAAGCTACACGCGCGGCATCGGATACGAGACGTGTGAGCGTCTCGTTCGCGATGGCGGACCCTTTCAACGCTTTCCCGGAATTACATGCAAATCGAAGATCCACCGGCTAACGACGATTGCATAAAACGCCGCGACCGTGCTGCGCGCCAGTGAAAGCAAGCCGCGTTTTCGAGTGTTCGCCGGATACCAGCATTTCTGGATGACAAATGATACAGACCATGTGGGGATTCAATAACGAGGCGTTTATGTATTCCGCTTTAAACTGAGACGCTATTTTGTAGCAACATCGAGTCTACAGGTTGTCCTTTATAACAGATGCGTACAGTAAATTCTCCCTAATTCACGCTCATCTTGTACAGTAATTTTTCTCTAATTCGCACTTAGAATATGGACATTTTAATCAAATTGATCTCTACTTCCCAAATTGTCCATTTTTGGGCACAATCTGAGCGCGAATTAGGGAGAAATTATTGTATTCCACTGTAATATCTTATATTATAATCTATTATTTATAATTATAATAATTAATTATAAATAATAGATTAATATCTTAGATAATATCTTAGATAGACGAATCGTGAAACAATTGTATTAAAAATACAATAATTTCTCCCTAATTGTCGCTCAGCTTGGAAATAAAAATGGACAATTTTGGAAGAGGAGATACGATTATTCGAAACTTGCGGCCCATTTTTATAAATATAATATAACTATATATTTAAATATAATATTTATAATTATCTATATAAATATTAATACATAATAATATTTATATTATAAGTATATATTATAATATAATAATATTATCATATAATATATAATAACTTAAATATATAATATTTATAAATAATTCTATATGTTATAATATTTAAATCAAATTAATATGAATATAATTTATGGTTATATAATTATAAAAACGAGCCGAAAGACACGAATAATCGTATCTGCTCTTCCAAAATTGTCCATTTTTGTATCAAAGCTAAGCGACGATTAGAAAGAATTTACTGTACCTATTTCGACGTTCTCCCTGCAATTCGTCTACGTGTGAATTTTATTTCGTCGAACGGTTTTGTAAATAAATGATACCGTAACTGCGATTTTGATCGATATTTTATTCGCAAACGAGACGTCCCAAAGTCGTCGTAAATGTTTATACGTTTGATAATATCTCTCCGTTGGAAAAAGAGAGGCATGTCGCGTACTCTTAATCACCTAATTAAAAAATAACTAACCAATTAACGTCGTCTCGCGGACACTCTCAAAATTTATCTGGAATTTCTCCGACGATTAAATTCTCCACGAGGATTCTCGGCGTTCGCGCAGCCGTAACTGCAACGACGGAAGTTCCTATGCAAACGACGGAACGACTCACCGAACAATCGCACAATCTCTTCTCCCTCGGGATTACATAAAGCCGATCTTATAATTATTTGAAAAGGAAAGCGATCGACCCGTGGGATCAGGAAAACCGGCGGCAGCGCGAAAAGCGCTTTCGACCGAGAGAGCGGCGAGTAAAATCGACCCTCGGGCCAACGTGGCGAAGAAATTCGTGGAAAAAAAACGTACGAAGACGATCCGCGTACGCTTCTAACACCTCCTTAAACGCCGCCGGGTTTCAGCGCGGCGGCGTCGACGGGGCCCGAAGCGATCGCGGTCCCCACCAAGAGGAGAGTTCAGGATGTAGCTGGGACCCCCATATAGCGTCGCGATGCCGCCGCTCATGGTGCCCCCCCACGAAATGCTTCTATGCTTAGGGCAGCTAGCCGCTTAGACGGAGGAGCATTCGCTATAAAAGGCCCCGTGGCCCCGAGGAATTCGTCAGAGAAGTGACAAACCGTGAACAACGAGAAAAAAGTCCGAATAGGCGGCGGCCTCTGCCGTTTATCTTCGTTTCACGCGGCGATCGACAACCCCAGAAAAGCCGGAAGATGCGGTCTAGCCTGGTCAGTGTACAAGCGAAACGATACTATACCGCGATTAATACGATCGACGATCTACGAACGCCTGTGGTGCATCTGTGAATTTTGTTGTGATCATCGTCGTCGACGTCGTCGTCGCTGTCGCGCGACGGACCCAGTGATCGGGCCCGGTGGTGATTCCGTAAATTATTCACAGCCGGCCGTCGTTCGCACCTGTCGCCGGTTTCGACGCACGTTTACGGCACCCACGGACGCGCCCACGCGACTCCGAATCGCGAGTTTCACACGTGGATCGAAGTTCCCGTTTCGCGATTCGGCCGATTTCTAAGGCGGATCCAGACTTTTTTAGCTTCGCTGTTGTGGCTTTCGTAGATCGTGGACCGGCACCACGTGCTTCGTTGTGACGCGAATCGTTGTCGAGAGTTGTGAAACTGGTGCAGTTGTAGATACGGTAATGTCTCTCTAATTGACGCTCAGATTGTCCACAAAAATGGCCGATTTGGGAAGAGCAGATACGATTGGTCGAACCTTGCAGATCATTATTATAATTTTTGACAATCGGTTATAAAATAACCGATAATAAAAATAACTATAAAAACGAGCTGCAAGGCTGAAATAATCGTATCTCCTCTTCCGAAACTGTCCATTTTGGTGTACAATCTAAGCGTCAATTAGGGAGACTCCACTGTAGATCGTTTCGGTTCGATCGGGTCGGTCTTTTTTATTGATATTTCGCACCGACAAGTGAATACAGTAATTTCTTCCTAATTAATACAATGGGCAATTTGGAAAGAGGTGATACGGTTATTCGAGCCTCGCGCCCTTATCGATTGTCGACAATTATAACAATCGAGACGCAAGGCTCGGATAATCGTGTCTCCTTGACCAAAAATGCCCATTTTTGTGCGCAATCTGAGAGAGCGAATTAGGGAGAAATTACTGTATTAATCAGACTAAATTACTGTATTAATAATTAAAATTAAGAATCGTCTCGTCTATACCTATCTATCCAACGTAATTACACCGCGAATTTTAGCAGAACTTGCGACTAATATATAAAATCGTGCACCATAAATGAATTTAAGAACACGCATTATTCGCGTAACTCCTGTTCCTCTTCAACGATTCGGATAATTTTGATTTTTCGCAATGATCTGCAATGAAAATATTATTATTAAAAAATATGTTCTCCGAATCGCGAAATAATTTCGATACAACATCATACAACGGTACCACAGTGATCGCATTAACTCTTACGTTATACGTTAACCAGAAAAGCACGCCAAATATTTATGAATAATTTTAGAGTTGATTGTTTCGAAGAAAATGCAGATACGGGGTTTCATAATAAAAAAAAGCCGGTACTTATTACTTGCTGTAGAGAAATTGTCTGCACGAGATGGATGACTAACCAATTTCCTGAAGTGTTACCAGTTTCATTCTTTTATCGCTTTAATTGCACGGGAAATGAGTTTCGATACGGGTTTTCTAGCTCCAGCAACCGGTAAGTCATTCCTGCTGCAGCTGGTCGGAATGGAAAGTCGAGCAGTGTGCTCTTGCCACGAATAATTCCCGTTTCGTGAAACTATACCATTGATTCTATATAAACTCAATTATCCACCTTGTGCAACGTAATCACTGTGGTTCTAGATCAAGCTACTGCGAACCAAGGTACCTCGGCAATGAACTTGTTTCGAGGTCGCGCGACCGCAACCAGGTTTCCTAAATATTCCATAAATTCTGAAAATTATGCTATTGTTTAAGACAAGAGCTATCGCTCTTATCAGCCGGAGGAGCAAATTATTTCTTTCGCGCGTCGTGGACAAGATAAACGACGTTTCCGATATCTTGCAACGGATCGTGATTCCTTAATTTAACCTTTTGCACTCGAGTGGCGACTCCGAGGCGTCGCTGAAAGTTGCTACACTATTTCCAAAAGAATTCTCACATTATTCGATTCGTCTGCATTCGATAAATTGTCGGATGACGGAGAAGTCTTCTATAAGCGTACGCGCACAATTTCATATGTGCCAAATAAAAACAGCATACCAAACGGAAATACCGTAGGTTTTTAAATAAACGTTTTCGTATTAGAATTAAAATAGTCTCGAGTGCAAAAGGTTAAATTTTTAGATAGTCGCGTAGATCGTCGATAATCGTCGAAAATATCTTTTCTAACATTTCTGAACAACTGGCAACGATGTGCTCGCAAAATTTGTAATTATTAATATTCAGCGACAATGGATCCTCGATTTAGCATTACCTTTTCACGCGAATCCCGGAGAATTTTTAAGCGGCTAGGTTCATCGTCTGCGAGTAGTTTAACACGTCGGGCACCTCGTCGCGCCACGCTTTTCCTTCTGCGTCGTCGAAATTAATTCCGCCGGGTGCCGCTTTCTATCGATTGCCCGATCTTCCGTGGATCCTGGTCGCCTAAACTATCCTCGTTCCAGCACGTTCGATGGCCAACGACGATATCGCTCGACAAGCACATAACGAGGATCGGATGGCCAGATTATCGATGTTCCCATCTGCGCGCGGTCCTTGATCTTGACACCGGTTTACCGGTGGCCGATCGCCGGAAGCGAAACGGCAGCGGGCGGTCGCCGGCGCTCGAAATAATTAAAAAAGGGAAACGAAATCGAGAGGGCCGCTTTCGCGCCGGTTTCGGGTTTCGAGAAGTTTCGAGTCTCCTCTTCGCGAATAAAAAGAGGGATCGCTATCGACCCAATTCACGGACGACGTTTTCACGTTTTACGCCTGTCTCTCCGACGTGGTTCGCACGCGGACACTTTCATTTTTCAGAGAGGCGCTCGTAAACCGGCGGAAAGATGCCGACGGGAAAAAGTGGCCGACGACTGGTTTCCTCCACCCTCGTTCCAAACCGGACTTCTTCGGTTTCTCCCTGCACTTCCGTTTTTACCGCGGAAGGCTCGTTCGCCGCCATTTTTAGCGGCCGGGAACCGCCGCACAGTGGGCCGGATCGAGAAATTCAGTGACATTCCATTATAACTTTTGAACCATCGAAGATATTGCGATGAAATTTTCACCAAATATATTTAAAAAATAGTTATTTTCAACTATAGATAATTAAATATTTTTTGCATTTGTTAAACAATAATTTTTAATTAACTTAACCTTGACATTTTTTTGTGAAAAAAATTGTTTAAATATAATGTTGCAAACTATTTAAGCATATCTTTTGGCGTCAAATGTGACGTTCGAAATGTTCAACTTTAAATTGTCGTATCTATTACACTTTATGATCATTTTTATTAATATTTCCACTTTCGATGGTAATGGACATTCAACAAGCGATAAAAATTGACTGGACATCGATACGAGAAAATTAGGTTTTTGTCAAAAAGCCACTAAAATCTTCGATTCGGCCTCACTGTGCGCCGTTTCGTTCGTCGTTTCCTAGCTGCAGCTTTCTTATCGATGTGCCGTGTGCTCTTCGCTCTCCGTTTGGATTTAATAATGGCGAATTACGTTAATGATGTTTGCCGAATCACGTATTCGGATTTCTGGCTGTTAGGGATTTTATGTGTCGTTAACGAAGATATATCTGTGACGAAGGAGTTCTCTGAGGACAGAGAAGGCAGAAATAAATACCGCGAAAAAATAATAGAAAGCAAACGAAGTCGTCGGAAAAATTTAAGCAGACTTTCCTTTCGCTTATCAAAATTATTAACAGCAGCAGCGTAAATATTTAGTTCTCGTTTCTCGAAAAGGTCGCAAGTTCGATCGTTACGAATGTTTCTGGAGTTTCTAATCTTCAGAAATTGATTCCACGCGGAAGATAATAAAATGAACCGAATGAAATAGAAAGTTTTCATCTTTATAAAGAATGTCGGCTACATTCGATATGGCACGAAACTTGTGGAAGATACATTGTTGGTCTTCGTAGAGTTAAATGTACTGAAACTGTACGAACATTCGCGGTCTACTTGCTCGTTTAATCCTTTCGATGTTTACGTATAATTGCGGAGTATGTAGGTAAGATGCGGTAGCCAGCGCATTCACGCTTGGATAACCTTGTAGCATCGAGTCCGATTGATCCTCGTTCGTTCTTTATATTATACTTTATCCAGTTGCTCTTTTTATAAAACGTACGATTTCTGACGTACAGTAAATTCTCCCTAATTCACGCTCAGATTGCGCACAAAAATGGACAATTTGGGAAGAGGAGATACGATTGAGATATTATACTTATAAATTATTATATTTATAATATTATTATTAGAATATTATAGTTACCGTTTATCAAGGTTATATTCGTGCCTTCCGACTCGTTTTTATAGTTTCCGATTGTCAACAACTATTAGGGAGTATAATAAAAAAAAAAATATAAATAAAATCACCTTGCGGCTCGTTTTTATAGTCGTTGATAAACGGTAACTATAATATTATAATTATAATATTATAAATATAATAATTTATAAATATAATATCAATCGTATCTCCTCTTCCCAAATTGTCCATTTTTGTAAGCAATCTGAGCGCGAATTAAGAATAAATTATCGTAATTTCTTGATTCGGAGCAACAATATCCTCGCATCATTCGTGGAACAAAGAACGGTGAAACATTTGTGGGAAACACGAAACACGCAAAATGTTCATAATTGGCAATTAAAGCTAAGGAAATAGTTAAACATAAAACGCAACATTGTGACTCGATCTTCCCGTCCGATCCGATAAGGTGGCACTTCGAGACTGTGAGGATCGACGTTCGACGATCAGCGAACAATCTCTAGATCTCTGCAATTGTGAACGCTACACACGCGAGGTATAGTTCATTTCGTGTACAAGTTCGCAGCGAACGGAAAGTTAGATAACGGGTGAAGGCCGTAGTATAGATCGAAATCGGCACTTAATTATTAGTATAATGCTCGTGTATGAGGCGCTACTTCGGTTAGAATACGAGAGATCGTATCGACGTTCACGGAATTCCTGGCCAAGTACTGTGTTACTAGGTAATTACGTGGCTGTGGCAGTCACCTACATGACCAGCGTGCCATGATCGTCTCATTTGCATTTCTGGCTGGTCGGACAGCGTGTTTTCTTCCGGCAACTAACGTCGGGTTCATCCCGATGGGACAGTTGCCATTGGATTGACAAATATCCGATCCGATTCGAATCGGTTGGTAACGCGGCTCCGAACTAATACTTTTAACTCCGAATAAATGTTCATCTTAAGAAATCGTAACAGTCATAATAGCTGTCTACTCAACACCTATTGCTTCAAACTTCCAGCATAGAAATAAAATGGACAGCTATTATGACAACGGGCACATATCAATATTTCAATGCCCTTTCAGAACACGAATGAAAAAATACAATCAAATCGTAACAAGTCTGTGTGTTCTTTTTCCAGTTAATATTGGGTTGCTTCCTTTTCGTCTCCGTTCTCGGAGATCCCATAAGGACGAAGAAAGAGTGAGTACTTTTGAAACTTATAAATCCTAAAAATGTCTCTTAAACCGGAAATGGCGGGTTCCTCAGATCATTTGAAGCAACTTCTTCCTTTACAAAAATTTTCTCCGAGGCACCGTTAACGAGTTATTAACGAAAACCAGCGCACGAAACCCAGTTCCGCTCATTGGCTCGGTTGCCTCGCGCCAGCTGAGCTGGGATTCGACCGCCTCGACCGCTGGCGCCGTTGGCTCGGTTGCCTCGCGCCAGCTGAGCTCGCCTCTCATTGGTCACTGTTTTTCGTTAATAACTCGTTAACGGTGCCTCGGAGAAAATTTTTGTAACGGAAGAAGTTGCTTCAAATGACCTGAGGAACCCGCCACTTTCGGATTGCGAGACATTTTTGGGACACCCTGTATACTTCATCCGTGAGAACAACAGCGTTGAACACGATCGAACAATTTCAGAGCACCGTTAAGTCCACCTCCGAGTCAATACAGTCCACCATCGTCGTCTTATGGAGTACCGAACGTAGGAAGCTCTTATAATGCACCATCGTCGTCTTATGGCGCCCCTCCGGCTGCGCCATCTTCGTCTTACGGTGCGCCATCGAGTTCTTACGGTGCCCCATCGGCACCGTCCTCCTCCTACGGCGCCCCATCGGCACCGTCCTCATCCTACGGTGCTCCAGCAGCACCGTCCTCCTCCTACGGTGCCCCATCAGCACCGTCCTCTTCCTACGGTGCCCCATCGGCACTGTCTTCCTCCTACGGCGCGCCATCAGCTCCGTCCTCTTCCTACGGTGCTCCATCGGCACCTTCTTCCTCCTATGGTGCCCCATCGGCTCCATCCTCCTCCTACGGAGCACCATCCTCTTCGTACGGTGCCCCATCTGGTCACGGATCCTTCGGCGGTGACTCCGGCTACAGCAGCGGAGGATCATTCGGCGACGATCACGGCGGTCACGGCGGCGGCGGTGGCGGCGGTGGCGGCGGGGGTCATGGGTCATTTGGCGGCGATCACGGCGGACACGGTGGCGGAGGCGGTGGCGGAGGTCATGGGTCGTTCGGAGGAGACTCGGGCTCCTTCGGCGGAGGTCATCACGACGGCGGAGGAGTGTCGACTTCTTACGGAGCCCCGTCGCAATCCTACGGTCCCCCGTCGCAATCTTATGGACCTCCGGCTCAATCGTACGGACCACCGCAGCCTCAAGGCAGATGGGAGAAGAAGTTGATCTGGAAGCCGGAATGGAAGCAGATCTGGAAGACGGAGCAGAAGCTGGCCTGGAAGCAGGAATGGAAGAAGGTCCAGGTCCCGGTGTGGAAGGAGGTCCAGGTCCCGGCCTGGAAAGAGGTGAAAGTGCCGGCCTGGAAGAAGGTGCAGAAGCCGGTCTGGAAGGAGATCCAGGTACCGGCGTGGAAGGAGGTCCAGGTCCCTGCTTGGAAGAAGGTCTGGAAGCCGGTGTGGAAGGAGATCCAGGTGCCGGCTTGGAAGGAGGTCCAAGTGCCCGACTGGAAGAAGGTCTGGGTCCCCGAATGGGTCAAGGTCGGCATCCCCGGGGAACAATACGTCGGCAAGGATCACCACGGATGGCAGTACACCAGCCACGATCTTTGGAAGAAGAAGCTGATCTGGAAGCCGGTGTGGAAGAAGATCTGGCGCACGGAGAAGAAGCAGGTCTGGGTGAGCGACAAGAAGCTCGAGTGGAAGGCCGAGTGGAAGCAGATCTGGAAGACCGAGAAGAAGCAGATCTGGGTGAGCGACAAGAAGCTGGTCTGGAAGGAGGAGTCCGTTCAGGTTTGGGTGCCGGAGAAGAAGCAGATCTGGGTCACGCAGAAGAAGCAGGTGTGGAAGGACGAGTGGAAGAGCAAGTGGGTGCCGATTTGGAAGGAGGTGCAGGTACCCGCGTGGAAGAAGATTTGGAAGCCCGTCTGGGAGAAAGTTTGGGTGGCCGCCGAGCCCCACCACGACGACCACCACGGCTACAAGTAGATCCCTGCCGTGAGATCCCGATCGATCCCCGTCCGGACGGCGAGCCGTCGTCGTTGTTCCGTTTCCCCACCCCGGTGTACCGACCGAGGAACAAGTACTCTGACTTTCTAGGATCTTCGCTTGCCGGTAATCGATGCCCAAATTGCTTTTCGGGAAAGCTGAACGTTGCCGTTGGCTCGCCGAGGCTGTCCGACTGGTGGCAGGAAAAAAGGATCGAGACGGCAAACCGAGGAAAGGCACTCTAGTGTAGCGATGCTATCGGAGAACCGATCGTTCCTTATCGGTGCACAGGATGCGGTAAACTCGTCCGATTCGTTATTAAAAGGTCTTGGCACCGCGAGATCAGTCGTCTTCAGAACTTGGCGCACAGCAATGCTACTTGGTACGTTGTTTACTTTTCTGGAAACTCGTTGTTGACTGTTGGTGCAGAGATCCGGTAAACTCGTACCATTTGCTGCTGGAACCATTTGCTGCTCTTGGTACCACGAGATCGGTCCTTTCGAGGATTTTGCACACAGCAACGCTGCTCGGTGCATCGGTGCATCATCTCGTATAATTAACTACCTTCGAATCTTGATACCACGAGTCTGGCCTTGCCAAGAACTTGGCACACGATACATTAGCCTAGACAACGCGAATAAAAGCCACGATTCATCGAGGCTTGGACCAGCTTCGAAATTCCCCAGGACGTGAAAATGATCCACGGGATCGCAGCAGCATTGTACGAGTCCGCCGACTGGAAAAGCAAACGATTTTGTGGTCGATCCTTTGAATCGCGGTTACAATGAAAGTTACCGTGCTTATTTCACTTATGGTACACGCTGCCGGGGATTAGAGATCGACTTGAAAATTCGCTGCACGAGCCAGAACCCGATCTCCGCGATGGAACTCGATTGTCGCGGGATCGTGAGAAAAAGCGATCTAACGGCGAACGATGACGGCCAGGAATACTACGAAAGAAAGAACAACTAAGAGAGAGAGAGAGAGAGAGAGAGAGAGAGAGAGAGACGTTTTCGTGGTGCACGCCGGGAAGTAGCGTAGAGTAAAAAAATAAGGAGAGAGTTCTCTCTCCGGAGATCTCCCGGCGACGAGATCAGGACACGAGAATCGTAGCGCAGCGTTTGCGAGTCCGTTTTCTTTATTTGCGAAGAGTCCGCTGTGAGATGCAGCATCGTGGACCACTGTATCGTAATGGACGATTCGCGACCCGTCGAATGTAATTAGCTCCCAATTGTAAATAACCGTTGTTCGCGGAGGTACACGCCTATCGATATTTTTGTACGATGTTTATGTATGTTGTCGTAATAAAATACCGTTTTTTTTTATTTATCCTGTTACAGCCTAGGGTGTTCTCTTTTGCGAATGTTCGCAAAGAAGAGCGCCGCATCCTCCGAACATTTCAATATCGTTGTACGAAACAACCGCGATTTCTTTTCTGAATAGAAATAACAGAAATATAGACACGCTATTTCGGAATAGCACGCAGCAGAAGTATTAAAGAAGTACAGTAATATCTCCCTTACTGACGCTCAGATTGTGCACAAAAATGGACAATTTGGGAAGAGGAGACACGATTGTTCGAGCCTTGCAGCTCGTTTCAATAATCGTTGACAATTCGTGACTATAAAAACAAACCGCAAAGCTGGAATAATTGTATCTCCTCTTCCCAAATTGTCCATTTTCGTGCGCAATCTCAGCGTCAATTAGAGGGACATTACCGTAGTAGAGAATGAAGAAAATGAAACAAGACAGGAGCGATTAACGACAGAAGCGGGAAATGAAGTGATTAGCGCAATTGCTTCTAATCACGATCGAATCCTAATTAAATCGCGGGGGATTCGAGCGTCCGCGGAGACGGCGGTGCGCGTTAATATCTCGCGATCACGCGATGCGATCGACGTTCTCGCCGACCTCGGCGAAATTAGCCGTCGTAAAAGTGCAATAACGTGTTTCCTCGGCTGTCTTCCCAGGAAGATCACGCTAAGCGCCATAAATGTGGAGGAGTCGCGGCGTCACCCACGACGATCATTAATTCGCAACGGATGAAAGCGCGGTTTCTATGCGCGGCAGCACGATAGAAGATGCTTTCTAGGGATAAGACCGGCGACATCCAAGGGAAAGACCGCGTCCCAGGGTCGCCAGGGTCGCGGTTCACACTCGCGACCTTTACTTTCTCCCGGTTGCATGTAAAAAAGTGTGGGACGAGAGGTGAACGCGCTCGCACACGCGAGTCGGAGAGGAACACCGGAAATGGCGCGCCGCCAGTCAATCGCTCCTCGGCGTTCGACGAAGTGCGTGTAACCGAAAATAACGAGGAGGAAAGTCGTCGGAGACGTCTTAATGGGGCAGACGAGTGCGAGCTTCACGCGGAAGAAGATCGAGCGAAGAGGAAGTCACGATCGCGCAAAAGAGCGCATGTAACGAGAAGAAAGTTCCCCGCGACGGATGGATCTGTCTCGAGAAGATTCCGCTACCGGTTGCGTTTCATTTTGATCGATCGATCGTTCGGTCATTTTTCGCGACGGGAACGGGAAGGAGTTTCGAACGTTTCGATTATTTCAGTTGTCGAACAGGAAGCGAATTATTATCAAGCAATTGTTTGAACGGTCGTGGTTTTTTAGATTTCTCTTGGTCTCGGAGTTTGCGTCTGTCGTGTTGAATTAGACGAACTTTTTGTCAGCGTGCGAAGTTCATTTTTCAACCAGTTCCACGAACGAACGCACGAATTCATTCAATTCGACGAAATTATTGGGTTGAGGAATAAGTTCGTAGCGTTTTTATTTGAAGGCGATTTTCTTTGTCGTTTTCGTTAAGCTCGTGAGGCACCCAGGCTCCCAATTTTTCGGCAAATCCCATTGAACGAAGATGATTGAGAATCGTTTTATGATCGTAGTTCATTTTTTCGGCCAATTCACGACTTGTTTGGTGACCGTCCTCCTTCAAAAGTGCTTTGAGACGCTCTTCGTCGAATTCAGGTTTTCCGCTGCGGGGCGTGTCGTCGACGTCAAAATCGCCATTTTTGAACTTCGTAAACCATTTCCGTGCTGTAGACTCGTCTATAACACCTTCTTCGTATACGTTCCAAATGTCCCGGGCTGCTTCAGCAGCTTTTTGGCCTTGATGAAAAGCGAAGAAGAGAAGGTATCGAAAATGTTGCTTTTTACCTCCTGGATATTCCATTTCTAAGTCTCGAAAGTAATAAAAAATTAAACTACTCGAAAAGACGATTAGCACAGTTTTGTAGAGCAGAAAGAGCTCTATCGAATGAATATTATACACTTTGTCAAACAGCAAAACATCGTTGTAAAACAAAAGAAAATATAAAACCGTTACGAATCGAGAGCACGAAAACTGAAAAACTCGACTTACTTTCTAAGAATGACAAGTCTCCGCATCAGACTTCTCCTCATCTTTTGTTAACGTGTAATTGAAGTAACCACGTAATCAAGTAATTGAATCGAGTAATTAATCCAATCGTTTCCTGTGGAAGAAACCTTAAGATTTCTACAATTCTGAAATGAAAAATGTGAAATCTGCGATTTTGTCGGGCACTGTTCACTGTTGATTTTTCGACGTTCTCAGCCCGCGGAACTGGTTTCCGGATAACCAGCGTTTTCACGAAGGTGAAACCTTCCCATGAACATCCACGTTTGCATAAAAACCGCGCGTACCCGCATTGTAACTCATAACTGCCAGAAATCCACGGTCTAGCGCTTCGTTGATTCCTCGTTTTCTCGAAAAAGAAAGAGGACAATGAATCTCATTTGCGCGGTTTTATCGGCAAGAGATGGTCGAAGTATTAATACGTGATCTCCGAGGACTGGAGGTAAGTGGAAGTCGGTCATGAAGACGAGCTCGCTCCTCCGATCTTCCTCATTACCTCGACCTTAATAACGAGCATCGGTTCTCCTACTTTCTTCCGCCACGATCTCACGGCGACTTTAATTCACGATGGTTGCGCGTGAGATAACGAAATCCGCTTTCGAACGTCCGCCTACAGGTGGTAGCAGCGTCTTGAACACCTCGGCATCGGCTAAACGCCGTTTACGTAGAACGGCGCGGGACGAGCTTGTGGAAAAAGCTTCGGTTTGCGCGGGCTTCGTCGCGGAAAGTGAAAGTTCGGCTGCTTGTATATATTCTAGATACCAGCGCTGCCGGGCTCAGAGCTCGCGCGATCGAGAATCAAGCGCAACGTAAAGGCGAGTGTCCATCTAAGAGTAAAACTCTTGAGAGTTGCTCTACAGACTTTCCCAAAATGGTACAAACGGGACACGAGGGGTCCTGAGGTCACTTGAACTAACTTTTCCCTTAGCGAAAATTCAATCCGCGGCTTCGTTTACGAGTTATTAACAAAAAACACTGACCAATCGGAGAGCGAATGCGATCGGCGCTCCGCCCTCGCGGCCAATGCCGCGTCACGCCGGCCGTCTGACGTAGCAGCAGTGGTCGCGAGAGCGGGGCGCCAGCCGTGCGCGACTTCTCATTGGTCCACGTTTTTCGTTAATAACTTGTAAACAAAGCCGCGGATTACATCTTTGCTAAAGATAAAATTACTTCGAATGACCTCAGTAACCCGTCAATTTTGGGACGCATCCTGTAGAGCAACTCTCGAGAGTTTTATTCTCGGATGGACACTTGCCTTTAGATCGCTAAAGCGTTTCATCATTTTGGATATTAAAGAAATTTTAGATTCAGAGATCTCAGTGCAAGTTCGTTTTATAACCAAATAGTATTTGTCGAAGGTAATTTTCTAAATTGTGCAGCTTACAAGATCCGGAGTTACCTGGATCTTGCACTTATTAACCTTTTATCTTAGTTAGCATGGTATACAATAAACTAATTTCATTTAAACTAAATTTTCATTTCTATCTTAATCCTTAAAGCTAGCTTTCTATTTAGTGGACATTTAAGGCGCCATGCTTGAGGTGGTCATACTTTTCTAAGGCAGGATTAAAGTTAATTTTGATTCGGATCTATCTATTTTCTAAAATTTTGCAAAGTCAGATTACTGAACGCCGTCGCTTATTATTTTCATTGATACTCGAATAAGATCGGAAGAAGTGGTTGACCAGAATCGCCACTATTTCTTAGCGATTCAAAGGAGCACTTTTAAAGTAGAAACAAATAGAATTATTAGTGGAGATGATTTCCGTACAGTTTTTATTATTATAGTCAATCAATTCCCACGAAAGCGTTTTTCCAATCTTTATAATCGTAAAATACGAAACGGGCCATTTGACCGCGGCAGGTTTTAGCGTTAACGAGCACTTATTACAAGACACCTGTGAATAGCTGAAAAAGGTAGATAAGTCATTATTATGATCACTGAATTAAGTACCAGCACCGCCTGGACCACCAGCAGCGAACAAGTAATTTACGAGCGAACAATGTTGACAGCTCTGTAATCAGAAACTCGTAAATGTCTGTTGAATTGCTTAAATATCTAAATTTTTAAGGTGAGAGGACTTTCCAGATAGGGAGAAGTTCTTAAACGAGAGGAGACCAAGAAAACAACGCGTTGCTGAATTATTATCTATCTCACGTAATTACTATACCTATTCTCAAATTTAGACCTCCATTGTTAATATTTTATTCGAGATATCTCTTGCAAAGCATTTTGATAATTATCAAGTGAATTTTCACCTAGCTTAAATCTTGTTATTCGAATGAACGCGTATACGATAACACAGAATGTTACTAACAATGCGTAAGACATTCGAGATATTTCCTAAGCATTCGAGATATTTTTTAAATATTTAAGATATTTTCTAAACGTTCGCTGGCAACGCTAACTGCCAGCTGCGGACTTGCAGTTCGATCGAGTTTTAGAAGTCCATTGGCATGTTTAAATTATTCATTAACGTTATCTGCGTCGGAAAGTACTGTTGGTCAATGGCAGTGTCATTAATATGATTAGTACACGATTAGTATTATTAGTAACAGTTCCATTGCGACGAATCGAGGTGTCCTTGCACCCTCGGCCCGTTCGTAGCGAGTCGAATGATCGAAAGTTGTTCATGCTTTATGTATGCCGCGCCTCTGGGGCATATACGATCACATGTATTACCCAATAGAAAGTGAATCGTTCGTACGATTCGCAGCAACTTGTAATCCACAGACATCATTAATGGAGTCATGACCAGACCAGACAATGCTCTACGTCGCTCAGAAGTTATCGATCCATTAATTCGTTCCATTAATTCAGGAATCGGACGGTAATCGCTTGGAATTTCACAACTACTGTAATTCTTCTAATTTCTACTTTACTCGGAAATCTAATATCACTTTTACATTACACATTCTTTTATTTCTACAATCGTTCACT